GACCCGTTCCTGTGCAAAATTGGAAGACGCTGGAGGTGTTGACTGGGGAACACAACCTCCAAACCTCTCCGGAAAGAATCACAAACATAGCACTCCATCGGCTGTCTTTGTTGAAGAGGTCAGTAGTCCGTCACAAAAAAACTACAGGAACATGATCCCGAATGGCAAACACATCTCACCTTCTTTAAGATGGGACCGCCCAAAAACCATGCCTCTTCCTCGTCCGGGGCAACAATTGGCGCTGGCAGAGGCGGCTCGCCACCAAGCTTGACCCGTTCCTGTCGAAGATGCTGGAGGTGCTGACTGGGGAAACACAACCTCCAAAGCTCTCTGGGAAGATTTGCAAACATAGCGCTCCATCGGCTGTCTTTGTTGGGGTTTGTCAATGCCGGTTTGTCAATGTGGATGCATATTCAAGCACCTCAGGATTAGGAAACATAGCACCTCCTGCATTCCTTCAATGATTATAAACCCCACATCTCTTCAGCACAATGTCCCTGCCTCATGGGAACCAGATTACGGAACTGGTAGAAGCTCAGCGTGGCTGAGCTCATTTGTTTCCTTCCGCGCACCTGGACATGCATGGTAGATAGTTTGCGTTACCTAACGTAGAACGCCATGTACCCGTACCCCAACTTGTCATACATGGCGTTTGCATACTACCCCGCAAGAAGAGCAGCGCACCTCCTACACCCCCCAACATAGAACATGGCACAGATCCTTGTCTGACAATGTCACCAGCGCTGGTGCTCTTAGCCTCCTGGGCACAAAGGCAACATATTGCAACTTCAAATTAGCATCAAATGACTGGTCTAAAGTCTAAACATGGCACCTCAACACTTCCATTGCCCTTCTTGACATTGTCAAACAAGAAAAAACACGATTCAGCCTTGAATGAACCCCACATCTCTTCAGCAGGGTGTCCCTGCCTCAACCTCCTGGGGACCAGATTGCGGAACTGGTAGAAGCTCAGGATTCCTCTCAGGATGGCCCAGCTCATCTGTTTCCTTCCGCACAACTGGACATGCATGGTAGATAGATAGTTTGCGTTACCTAACATAGAACTCCATGCTTGAAGAGGACACGCTAAACAGCTACAGCAAAAAAACTACTGTACCCGTACCCCAACTTGTCATACATGGTTCCATTGCCCTTCCTGACATTTTGTCAAACGTGCTTCAGCCCTGAATGAACCCCGCATCTCTTCAGCAGGATGTCCCTGCCTCAACCTCCTGGGGACCAGATGGCGGCACTGCTGGAAACTCAGCGCGGCTCATCTCATCGGGTCCCTTCCACACAACTGGAACTGGTTTGTGTTACCTACCATAGCACTCCACCGGAACATGCTTACGCCTACCCCACTCTTTCATAAGAAGAAACTGTATCCCAAAAATTCACAAACAGCGCCAGAACCCTTGTCCTCCCCTGGGCAAGTTGGGGAAACCATCGATGACACAGCCACATCGGCAATCTCCCCCATGGCCAAAGGGTGCGCCACACTTACACACACACACACACTTCGAACTTGGTTTTCAGTTAGACTCAATTGCCACGTTGGGAAGGAAGGTGAGGGAACGGCAAGGCGAGTGAGTCGGCACAACAGTATTGTTTAAAATTGTTTCCGAAGGCGCTCAAAAGAAAGTGACAGTCAGCCGCTGCAATGCGGAAGGAAAAAGGTTTAAGGGAGGTATCATGAATCACCATGGAATCAAAAAAGGAGGATTGGAACAGCTTGCTCAACCGTTGAAGCAGGTACAGGTGGATGATCAGTCCACCCATCCCTCGATACACCAGAGCTTCGTTGCGTCAGGTAGGTGTATCGAGCCTGACGCCCCTGCTGCATGAAAATGAGTAGACAGAAACCCTTAGAAACATGGTGTGACACACACACACACAGCACGCCGTAATCGGCGCACGGATAAAACGGTGGAAGGGCGGATTCTTTTCCTTTTTCTCTCCAAAACCGCCTGCATGTGCGCAGGTCATGCCCTTTTTGGGCATAGAGGTTGACCAAGGCTTCAGCCGCAGCGGTGGCGTTGTGGGGTGGAAAGGTGTATGTATAGATGGAGTGAAGTCGGGAAGCTAAGCCGGACAGAGCCAAGCGCTGGCTACCGGCGCTGGTGTGGTCCCTGATTTTCCAGGGTTGGGTGGGTTGTATGTAGGTGATGGTGCGTTGCTGGAGGTCGATGTTGAAACCCAGAAGGTGGAAGTCATCCACCGGCTCTAATTCGACGGGATCGCCGAAAAAGTTGTTGTGGATGAGAGTCTGGATGGCGGGATGTGAGAGGAAGTGTTCATTGTGGACAATGAAGCGGTTGTCCACGTAACGGTAGTATGTGAAGTGGAGAGCAGTATGTTGAAGGAGATTGTTGTGGAGCTGGTGCCATGAGTGTTCGATGAGGGCGATGGCAACGTTGCAAAGGGCAGGTGAGAGCTGGGAGCCAATCCCAGCCCCCCGGATTTGCTTGTAGGTGTTGTTGCGTGCCCGGAAAATGCAGGTGTCGAGTGCATATGCGACGATGGTTGTAATATCGGCAGAATGAATGGTAGGGTGGCGTCGGTGATGTCTTCCGATATGGGAGTGATGGAGTGGATTGCCTGTGGCTTTGGTGTCAACTGTGAGAGTATGGGTGTGGTTCTGGCGTTGCCAGTGCTGAATGAGGGAATGGACGGCGTCGATCAGGCGGTGCTGTGGAACTGAGTTGAAAAAACCAACAAGATCGTCATTGGTGGCATGTAGGGGAATGTCCGGTGGGGTGTCGGTGAGGTAGCAGTGGAAGTGGGACCATAGTTGTGGAATTGAAAGTTGACCTGGATGCTGGGGGAAGAGGTGTTGCAGGATAATGTCAAGGGCTCGGTTGGTAATGCGGAGGAGATGGCCGCTCAGGGACTGAAAGTACGAGATGATGGTGCGGCCTTTTCTCCATTGTTTCTTCTCCTTGAGGTGAACGATGCCGTATGGTATCGTGAAGTCCTTTCTGAAGCCCCATTGGTAACGTGTGCGGAGGCTGGGGGGGATGGTGTGTGTCAGGTATTCGTGGATGTTGGACGGCTGGAGTGTTGGCATGGGTGCAAAGAGTTCCGGTGACTGCCAGGTGGCAAGCGCCCCGGCGAAGTATTGGCGGGGGCAGAAAATGCGCAGCTGTTGCAGTTCGTGGTCAGCATGGTGCAGGACGACTTGGTCGCCTAGGAATTCCTGGAGTTGCCGGAGAAGACGA